GTTTATCTCCAATAATGTATAAGCAAGAAAATGGTCAATGGATGGAGGAAGAGAAGGTATAGAAAACTGTCCTAGACCATTCCCGAACTATCATTTACCGCCAAAAGTTGTAGTTTTCGGCATTTCCAGGTTTCATCTACTGGGCCACGCCATTTAGTGATACCAGACACGCTGGCGCGTATGATTGATACAGCAACTGGATGGCCATCAATAATGGCCTTCGATGCTGCCTTGATGCCGCTTTCGGTAATTTGTACAACTATTTGTGTAGATATTGCACAGTATTATGTAGTATCATCTGAGGCGGTCGCCTTCAGACGCGTGTGGTTGCGGTGCGCTGCCAGGCATTTCTGTTGTTAGATAGTAATGTAATCTTCTTGTTAGTACTATCATCGAAGAAGACGATCACCGCTTTCAATAATCTGACTCTCTCGTTCTCCAGGTTTTTAGAACAGCTTATTGATAGCCAGTAAATTTCAGAGCTGCATCTTTTCGGATGAGGAACGAGTGGCTTACTGTGATGCTTTGCTTCACTCTGTGTCTACTATTTTGCCCCAAATTCTAGCACGATGTCCGGAAAATATTCGTGAGTTTTGATAGATCTTTAAGTTGTCAATTAGCCATATCGTAAACAATGATTACAGCAAAAGCCAAAGAATCTGAATACTTCACTTCGCCAAACCTGGAGTTCAATACAGAAATTTATTCAAGATACGCGGCTAACCTGCTGTATCGGTAGGTGAACATCATTGGTAATGATTTCCCAGGCAGGCAGCCCCTGGATAGGCGTCTGCTGACGCATTTATAGTACGGGCGTCGCATTCTAAATGCACCGGGTGAGAAATTACTCACAAAAAAAAATTATAATTTCGATCAAACGCTTGAGTGTTTTTGGGGAGGAGACGAAAAGGGTCAGCACCTACGAAGAAGCCCTACCTGGGTGAGGCTGGCTACCTATTTACATCTCTTGCCCCTCACTCTCCTGATGTGAACACTTTTACACTTCTGAGTTTTTGAGGTTGCTTATTCGTCGATTTTCTACAACTTCAAGAATGAGCGCTGTCTTACTTTCGATCCTAAATATTCATTGAATGGATTAGCTAATCAGCATAAACTACTGAGTGACGTGCTTTCCTTTTTAGTACACTTGGCAGTCTTCCAGCGGTGGTACGCAACTGGTATGCTGGTCTTCCCAACACAGGAATGCAGATCGTCAGCAAGTGGGTGTTCAGGGATAGACAGTTGTTTTTGAAATATTTGAAAACATACATCTTTAAGCAGGCGCACAAACAAAATTGTCAGTGCCGTACCGGCTTTCTTATAATTTCTAACGATCAGGTACATTCGTCGGTATGTCAGCAAACTGCTGGTGGACGCAGAGCTCAACAAGGTCAAAGTTGCCAATCAGAAGCAGCTAAAAGCTGATAAGTTGTTGAAGGTCGTGACTTTTTCAAAAATTTCTTTTTAATCCGTTCTAGTCCATGATTATTATGGCTGGTTGCTTTATTTATGTCTACTAAGGTAGTTTCGGAACAGATTAAGAGGTGGTTTTTGGAGACTGTGGGTTTTTTTTTCAGATTCGTGTAGTACCAGTCTCAGGAGAAGTAGTAGCTGAATATACGGTTGAGGAGACGACAATGCGACTGTCAATAGTGATGCCGCCTGATTGGCCGCTGTCAGTGCCATCTATTCAAATTGACAAAGCCATAGTACCTTCAGAGAAAGTGAAAAAATGGCTACTCCAGCTCACAGCCTACCTATTTCATCAGGTAAACCTTGACGTGGGAACTCTTTGAACTACTCCCAAGTGATGATTTCCTTCAAATTTTGATTACTACTGGCTTCGGTACCTGTCTCTTTACTACCTAGCTTTATTATTTCATAGAAATTGCATTTTTATTGGTTTAGAACGGATCGACAGTGGAAGGAGTGATGATGTGGCGAAAGAATGTTGATCGAGACGTCGAAGGAGCTGAGGCATGCACGATATGCATGATGACAATTCATTCCACTAATCACCAGTTACCTAAGGTATAGTCATTTTCATTACAAATAAGACAGGCATAGTTCTACTAAAACGTTAAGTAAAATGTGTGGATCGAAATGTCTGCCTACTTGAAAGGAAAATGAGCATAGATGTAAGGTTGAATGTGGGGTCCTCTGGTGGGTTGATGGAAGTAGAGAACGCATGTATCCAAATGTTGGCTTCAAACCTATTAGACCACACGGGTCTCATGCTCACATTTGAATAGTGAGGTTCCCATCATGAAGGGGAGCGAAGGTGGTGTAGTGTTAAACGGTGCAGTCCAGCTCGGTTACTTGATACCAGACACGTGTGGGAGGATAAAAGCATCGACAAGTACGTCGAACGTCGACCGCAATTCGTTCTATTGCCAACACACGTTGGAACAGCCATTAATATTTGAATAGACGGCGGATGCTGTGGGGCATCCCAGGAACGGGATTGTGAAGAGGCAAAAGGCCTTGGCGGCCTTCATAGTCCGCCGGCCGGGTGGCGCCGGCGTACCTGCCGGCGGACTATGAAAGTAGCCCTTGAGGCTTTACTCCTCGATTTTTGAAGTTCCATACTGAGTTTTCTAGCCCTCCATGTTTTTTTTCAGATTTTTACTAAATAGTTTTGATATTGCAGGTGAAGTGCCGTCAGTGCAAAAACAAGTTCCATTCCAATTGCTTGGTAAGTTACCGCTGTTTGAGTTATTATTGTATCTCAACTAATTTAGTTTCTGCAATAGACAGCTTCCAATAATCAGTAGCTGAATGCTCAAAAAGTGCTATCCCGAATTCGTTTGTGACTATGCAGTTACTTTGCTCCAGGCTCCTAATACTGTAGTATTGTCTTTCTTTTCGCAGGTTCAGGGTTCTGTTGTGTGTTTGATCAAAAGACCTATGTGCTGTGAAGGCTACATATCAAGCTTAATGTTAAAAAAATATTGCGCAAAATGTTAGCTGAATAATTGATTCGTTGCAGTACAAATGGTTCGAGTCAAGTAGTCAAACCAGCTGCCCGTTGTGCCGATCGAATTTCGGGTAGACTACGATGTTGGCGGTTGCTTCAAGTCTGTTGAGGATTGTAGTAGTTCTTGTTGCTTGGTGACCATACTTGTTGTTAATGAGTAATGCTCCAAAACGGTTATTTACAAGTCTTGTGATAGGCAAAATTATCATAATTGGTATCTTGAGAGTATATTTTGATAAAGGGTCTATTATGTTGATGTTTTACGATATTGATTTCCTCATGAAATATGAAATTCCAAAAAAGTGTCTGGTTGAAGAAGTCTCACAGCTTCTTGAAGGCTAATTTAGTTGAATGGGACCTGAAATGCGTGGAGAGCAGATTATCAGGAAATGGACAAACTTTGAATTAAAAACAACGCAGAAGTTGTCTAGCTGACAAGGGAAGGATAAAAGGTCGTCTGGACTGGTCGTCTAGGACTTGGTGTATACCACCGTCATTGTTCCCAAACGCTGATCTCAAATCCACCATCTGAACCTGCTAAGCAGTTCTGGGAGCAAACCTACCGAACCGCCCTCCCCTTTTGTACCGCTGTCGCACACGTAAATGAACCGATTATGTGACAAATCGTGCAGTGGTCGTAAAGGTGGTAGGTCGTTCTCCTCATAGAAGACGCATGCAGCTACGGGTATTTGAAGCCTGGACTCATTTTACTTTTTATAAGACGTGTCCTGAAAGCTTACTCAATGCGTTCAAACCTCATCTTGGCTGTCCACAGCACTTCCCACACTTTCGAGGATACTGGAATGTATCCCAAGAGAGATTTTTTTTGTCCTCCATCTCTTGTCGATAAGGGTGGAGGCCGAATCCAAAAAAGAGGACATTGCGCTACGTTGGCTTGAAATTGGGCTAGAGGAACTTGTTTCTGCGGCATAGCGTAGAAGCCATCTAGGAAGGAACGGAAGGTAATAAAGAGATTCTCGTCTGCTGCTGTGGTATACACAACAAAGCTGTATAGCCAGAAAGTGGAGGAAGTGCAAATCTATCTCAGTGACCATCTTTGATCTCAACTTCATCGAACTGATGTCTAGGAATTGAGTTCCCAGCTAACTTCACTAGCTATCTGTGAGCTTTTTGGTTTTGAGAAGCTACGCTCTGAGGTGGTGCTCAAGCACTAGTAAAAAACACAAATGTGTTTTATGGGTTTACATGAGTTGACGGTATGTGAAAGGCGAGATAATCAATTTTGCTGGCCATTCAGTCAATGATAATCGAAATCAGGAAGGATAAAAACCTGATTTGAACGTGGCTCACTTATCAATTAGGTACCCGGGCGTTCCCACGTATTTGGCTTTTGAACAGGAGATTGTTTTCCAAGGTGCGACACACTCAACAAACCAAGAAGCTCATCCAACGTCATGACGAGCTCCGTGATGTTGCTCATTCACCCTCCAGCTCATTCGTATTTCAAAAATCCAATATTGGTCTCTCTTAAAGTCTTCACCAATGGAGACTACAAGGCTTCAGACAAGGACCACTTCATCGCTCTCCAAACCTTATTAGGCCCTTTTAGAGTCAGAGCGATGATATCCATCCTGGTAGTGTCCGTGCGTGGCATCGAAAATAAACGCCACAGGCCTTCCTGAGCTGGAGAGCCATGTAAATTTTTCTGCTTGTAGGGAGATAAGGGAATTCAGCATATCGAACAACAGCTTTGGAGAAAGAAAATTGTATAGACTTAGTGGGAGGATGGATTTGTAAGGCAGATAGAACAAACAAATACCCTTTATAAGGCTCGATCTTGAGTAAAATGAAGTTTCCCCTCGCAGTCTTTCACCGTCAATCGAAGAAGTGGGGATAGCAGGATAAGGTTCGCTTTACCTTATCGAGGGTTATCAGGAACTTCTGCATTAGATTTACGTCCTAAATTCTCCTGCCCGGCGTGCCTATGAACAACGTTTCCTCACACGTTCTACTGTGAGTGCCCAAGTACTTTGAATGAAATGATTCCGTTACCCTTACCAAGCCTTACTTCGTGTTGGCCTATTGGGAAGAATGGAAATGCTGTTCTGAACAATGAATGATTTGTGTTATTTCGAATGAAAGTCCATTGAAATAATCTGTCAAATCCAAATGGAACTCGAGAGTATGGAGAACTCCATAACGGCTGGTTAACCGGACCAAAATTTGTTTTGTGCCGTCTCTGCTTTCGTAGAAACCCTGCCATTTATGGAGAATTTTTCCAAACCACTGGACCCTGGCCGTAATTCAAATTTGTGTGCAATATTGCGTTTGTTGTGCTCGGCGTAAAATTCGAAATCCTCCTTGCCAATTTGCTTGAACTCTTGTTTCCATAAATCGTTCTCAGGGATTCCTTTGTGTTCTGTACTTATATTCAAGCAAAATATCTATAAAGCAAAACAAGAGCCGAAATATCTGCTACGAATGCCTCGTACTGAATGTATTTCTGTATTCCCTCTCTTTTTTGGTTTTAGGAAAAATCCTGTGCAGACTGCGGAAGGTTACCGTATAAAGTCTTTAGCGCTTCATTAAATACTTTTCATCCGTTTCGTTAATATCTGGAAGCATAGGGTTTCGTCCCAAGTTTGAAACTCGTTCATTTTTATCCTGAATCTTCCATCTTCGTATCATTTTTTCGAATTTCGCCTTCAATTTCTGGAGCCAAGTTTTGTTCTGAAAATTCAGTGTTCGAAACATTTTCACCTCAGAATGTGTAGTAGTCGTTATTGCAAGCTCATTGAATGTTCATGTGTTACCAAAGTGCCTCTGTCCTACTGGATAACCCTTCCCGCAGTTACCATCGTTGGTACTCTGTCCATCGAAGTAATTGATAGTCGGGTTATGAATATGATATCTGTCTTTCCACTAGCATCAGTCCGGCCCCAAAAGTTCCATTAGCGCTTATTTCGAACATCCCACATTTTTCCAAAGTAATCCTTATGACTTGATGTGAAGACCTAAAGATATCCCTTTGGTCAATCTACATGAGCGAGTCATGGTCCCAACCCGTCTCTGGTCCCAAAACACAAGTGCTATTTTCGACATTAGACCAGCAGTAACCTCTAACCGAGTGCAGTCGTTTCGGTCACATACAGAATTGAATTTTCTCCGATAAAATTTTTTCTTTGTTAACGCTACCCGCAAGGTTTCAGAATTACCCTAAGACGACCTTGGATATCTTTCCTCTTCAGAATCGTTTCCAGAAACTCTTTCCTCAGCTGCTTGCACATCATTATGACCTTGAATGAGTTTGGCTTCTGGCTTCCATTCATTACAGGGTGCTTGAGAAATGCCGAATTTGGATTTTTCTCTGTCTTACTCGATTTTTTGAACTGAAATTGAAGCCTGGGAAATAGCTCACCGCGTTAACAAACTGATAATTTCCCTTAAATAACAGATTCCTCTCTCAGACCTCCCTCACCAGAGTGGATTGATTAGTAACTTGCGCAAGTGTAGTGGGGATTCGAAGATTTACGAATGAAATACGGATTTTGAAAATCAATCCTTGGCTCTTCGATCTTTATATCATCAGGATTCTTAACCCTCTTTGGTCACGGTTTCAAACAACGTGTTGTATCATCTGAATGTAGACTGGAATTTTCATATAACACAAGCTTTTGGGCAAAATGATTAATCTCGCCATCAGCCTCAAATTTGTTTTGTGTATGCGAGTACCATCAGAGGCCTCTTCGGTCACGGTTACAATCCTTGGCTCTTCGATCTATATCATCAAAATAGCTCCCTTCTCTCTGAACTCGTCTTGCGATTATACTTAGGGGTCGAGGAATATAAATAAAAATCCATGCACTCATTTTCTTTCCCTCTCCTAGAATCATGGCCTCTTTAGGGATGGTAGAAAACTCACTGTCTGTAACAAAACTAGGGGCACGCTTGCCTTACACTGCTTCTAGATTCGAATCGCTAAGGATCATTCCTGCTTTGCGTCTATGCATCTCACACCTTGATAACTTCTTCCCGTTCGAAAAAAAAAGACAGTTGTCTCACAATCAGAGCGATAGTTTTCTGGGATATAATTTGCTCGTGATTTCTTTCTGAATGCTATCTCTCCCACACAACAATATAAAAGGTTTACCTCATTTGATAGGCAGCGCAATTTCATTCAGAGGAGGTTGATCCCATGAAGGCGATGTAAGGGGGCGAAACTTCCAGAGGCGCGGATTATCTGGCGCAAACTATGTGGATTTCGCAGCCCTCCTTCCGCATCACCATCAATTCATACCCTTCATTAGAACGTCAAATGAGTTTCTGGACTAGCAGTGCTCTTTTTGACTCCATCACCTGTACCTTTACACTTTTACGTTGCACTTTGTTCCTGCTCTACACTGTTTTTTTATTTCAGAATGGGTACGACCTCTTTATTGGGAAATCTATTCCCAATGTGGAAAGTTATATTAGTATTTGCTTGTATTCACTACTCATCATCCTATAGACTTAATGTACCCCGTGTATTGCTTCCATATCATCCTACTATACCCGTAAAGTTTTTGCTGGAAGTTACGCAACCTACCGGAGGATGTTTTGTTTGGTGAGAGCACTTTGTTTTTTCATGTCATCATGCTGGATTTTATGAGTAGTAATACTCTACACCTTAGGCGCTCCACTCGTCCCGATGTGGTTTCCGTTACGCCGATCGGAGTTAGACCTGGCGAGTGCTCGGATAAAGCTGAAATCCGTGCCACTGCCAAAGCTGTATCTGCAGAACTGAGCGCAGTTATTTTCGCTGAGGATAGTGGTGAGCATTGCAGCTGTCATTGCTCTATTTGTTTCTTTGAAATTTTAAAAATTTGTTTTTTCAAAAGTTGTTTGTTTCCGAAAAAGGAGGAGCAGGTTTGCCTTTTTGATGATCGCACTACGTTTCAGGAAACTAAACTAAAGAGGGCTTAGCTGAGTGCTAGTAGGTTTGCTACTAGCTCTAGAAGGGCATCCGTTTAGAGGGTATTTTAGAGGATCTTGCATAAAACCGATGCTTCTGCTTGAGTTTCCATAATCTGTAAGATCTGATCTGGTCTGTAAGCGTATACTGAACCTTACGAATAGCGGAGGCTTTCGGAAACACTCTAACTATGAAAGTGGTCTGTATTTTCAGCTTCTGGAACAATGCTCAGTTGTGGTGTCACTGTTGATCAGATCTCGAGAATCCGTGTAGAAACAACCACGAAAATACTTTTTGTCGACGCTGCACCAGCACGAATGATCATCGAAGCATTCAATGCTGAAGGTGAGGACTCTCTCTTTTTTACTTGGTTTCTACGCAATATTCGCGGATTTTATGAAAAAAATTATTTTCAGGTGATAAATTCTCGACGCTAAGCGAAATCCCAATCGATTGGGAACTGTCACATTCCGGTGATGGTCGTCCTCTTCGTATTGTACCATTTGAACAGTCCACTTATGAGGCGCCACCCGAAATCATTACCCTGGAGAATAATAAGAAGAAAGGTGACAGTAATCGAAAATAGAAGTGTACCTGTTTTCAAGATTTTTATTGCTAAGGTTATATAATTCTTGTGGAAGGAGTTCTGACAGGCTCTGCAACATTGACCGCACGATTCGCTGAGCCACATTTTGCGGTAAGGATCCATTTAACTCTTCCTCTCACTATAACACATAACAGTTGCCTTCCAGAACATTGAATCTCATAGCCTGGAACTAACTGTGGTCGCCAACCTTTTGCTTCTACCCGCTCATGATCTCTACTTACCGGTCCATGCCGTGGTCCCTTTTCAAGTGCAAATAGTCAAACAGAGTAGCACTGAAGGTTTGGAATGTCCTTAATGAAATTCATTCTGCAATACTATGGCTTTTTGTTCTATTTTTCTTCACGTAATTTCATCGCTTCCGAGTTTTCAGTGGTCCCAATGCCATCGTCAGCGTATTTCCTCCAAGTGGATTCAGATACTGTTTGTTCTCTGGATAAAGCGACCTCCTCGATCCGTGCTCTAGCTCGTGGTCGCACGGATATCCATTTGTTCAGCCAAAGTAACGATTTTTCACTTTTACCTAAATTTCTAGTCATAAACAGTTTTGATGTACAGTTTTCCTAAGTTCCTGATATTTAGCTCATTTTTTTCCGAAATTTTTAGATGTCGACGTCAAAGCAAAGACAGGTGTCCGACCACCATCGACGGCTATAAACGTAGTTGATCCGGAGACTATACAATGGATGATCTCTGGCGGTGGAAATTGGTTACTACAAACGGGCACATTGTATAAATTCTCAGTATTGCTGCTTGATCCACACGGAAATACAATGTACATAAGTGATGTAAGCTTTCGGCCTCTTCCTTTTCTTTTTTGATTAAAAATTTCAATTAAGACTCCTATTTTTCGAATCGTGCTCTCTCTCTTAAGGAGGGAAGTTCTTACGGTCCATTAGATGGTTTCAATTCGAAAGAATTTACGTCTAATCTTAACAGTGTTTCAGAACCTGCGTTTTGAAAGCGTGATACCTTCCGAGTTCTTCGATATTTCTCACTCGTCAAAGAATGGGACCTATTTCGAGGCGACCCCAAAAAAAGTAGGAAGAGCTGTGCTGAAAAGCAAGTTTGTTGCTGTCGTTGATCAGGTCAGTTCGTTTTTTGGGCGACTTTTTTTGCCGTATGTTACTCTTTTTGTTAAATAGTATCGATGATTGGGAGTTCTCGTAGTCCTGTAGCCAAATTTTTTGTTACATTACCTTCCTGTCTTATTGATATGAAGATTTTTAGAATGGTGAAAACCGTGAGACTACTGGCAAAGTAACTGGAGAACAATCAGTGCAGATCGTTGATCCTGTACGCATCGCGCCATCGGAAATTATGCTTCCGTATCTTCCACGGAGAAGGACGTCGTTTGCTCTTAAGGTGACTTTCTGCATCACAACGTTGAATTGCGAATCGCAAGAGACTCTTTTTCACTGAAAAGCATATTGTTTGTTTGAAAATCAATATTTTTATTTTGCCTATGACTGTAACATTGAATCCTCGTATTTTCCATGGTTGTAGGCCACTGGTGGAAGCGGTTTGTACGACTGGAGTGTAGCTGATACGACCATCTGCTCTGTGGATACAAACGGTTTGTTGAGTGGAGCATCTCCAGGAGCTACAACCGTCACAGTGTCAGATAAAAGGAACCCTGCTCATAAAGATGTTGCCGAGGTGATTTTAGCAGCCGTTCGGGCTTTACCATGGACGTATACATACATCTCCTTAAGGTTTCGGTACTGGATATAATCTCGTTGACTTTTGGCGAAACACGCAAAGAAGCAGAAGTAGGAACCGATCTTGTGCTCAATGTACAATTGATGGGTTCTGGTCTGCTGAACTCGGTGCCATTCACTGATTGCCGAGCTGCAGATTTTCGCGTGCTGTCGTCCGATAATGGTATATTCAAGCCAGTTCCAGGTTTGTTGTTTAAGGGCATACCGTAAGTATTTTCTCTGTTGAATGTGTGAGGGTTCCATTTAGAAGCGGTCCCGACATTGCCTAAGATGGGCACCGGCTGTTCAACTGTTACTCTCAGAGCCATGTCATCAGGAGATGCCAAAGTGACAGTTTCGTTTGGCAAATATGAAGCGACTCTGGACGTTTCGGCCTACGAGCCCCTCAGAGTGGGTCCCTTTCACCGAAATTCCTGACTTGGTGTCATAGCGAACCCCGTTCAGATACTAAGTAACGATCTTGCCTTGGGCTTGGGCAGCAGCGCTAGTGTCCGGTTCGAAGGTGGGCCAAGGCCATGGCTACTTGATTCTTCATCTCACTACAGTGAAGGTATTTTATATTTCTCTCCTTGATGTAGTAAATCGCCCATAGAAAGTTTTTATTTTTAGCCTCTTCGGTTAAACATGTCACGTCATCTGTATATGATGATGTTCTCAACGTTAAATGTGGCTCGGAAGACGGCTCATCGGTAATTCAATTTAATCATGTTCTAGGTTCTTTCTATGTGTACGTCATGTGTTTAGACAGTGATTCTTCAAGTTGGAAATAAACCATCATCGACGCTTCCTTTACCAGCGTTATCTACAGTGGAAGTTTCCGTCTGCTGTGCTCGTCCTGGTAGGCTGGTGATATCCTCTGTCAACGGAAATCTGCCAAAATGCCCGTCAAATGTGGTTGGTATTGTCCTTCATCGCGTTATTGGACGAGTTTTCATAAATTTCTGATTTGTTATGAGTTCAGCGTATTCTCTTGAATGATGCATCGATGAAGCTTACACTGAATGCTCATGCCTCATGCGGAAAAGGAGGGGACCGGCCTTTGGACTCCATTTCAGGATTTGATGTCAGTCTACCTTTTAAGTGTTTTTGACTTTTAATTCTTTTATGCTCTCGTGTCCAGTAACATAGCCATGATTCAGATCAAATGGAGTACCGCAAACAAGAGTGCTATAAAAATTGAGACCACGGCTGTGGACAAAACCTGTACGTTACATTTTTAGAACGCATTCTTTTATCTTAGCTATTTTTTTCGGTTTTCCTTGTGAATTTATGTCCTCATTTCTTTTTGTAAGGAACCGGACCTTTTCTCTCCGGGTGCTTTATGGGTGGATGAGAGGTTGGTTCGTGAGAGAGTATTATTTCGCCTGCCGGTGTCTTCTCTAACCACAACATATATCAGGGCATATTCAGCTGCATCGCATGATAATCTTAAGATGGAAAAATATGTCGAAATCATGGAAGTCTTGATTCTAGTCTGCTTGAAGGGTACTGGGGACTTGGAGACCATATTCTATCCAGTTCCTTTTTCAAACTCATTAACATTAGTTTGTTTCACAACAATTTGATAGTTTCTACGGTTTATTTCGCCCATTTAGCCGCAACCATCAGAGGCCAAGGAACCAGTGGAAATATAATGGTAGCCGCAGAAATTTTGGAACAAGGAAAGATTCGTAGTCGCGTTGCGCTGAGGACAACATACGATGTACGGTTGGTACAACCGATGCAGATGGAACCGTCGAAACTAGTGAGTATGCTCTGTTCAGGGATTCCTCAGCTATATTTAACAACGCTGGGATTTACAGGTTCTGTGGAACGAGGTGGCTGCCCTAGGCACTGTGAAGCTAATTCACGGATCTGGACATTTCGTTGTCCATGATCTTCCAGGCGCGCCTTTCACCGCTTCTTTAAAAGGAGATTCTGTCACAGTCCGTATTCATTGATAATTATTTAAATTAGCTCCTTTCCATTTTGTTTATTCCTGTTCCTTCCAGGTGACTCCTCGATCTCAGGGCACAGGTTCACTTCGTGTTCAAGATGTCTGTATAGGCGATGATTTCTTGGACATTCCTGTCAAAATTACCGATATCCATTCTCTGATTGTTTATGGACCCCAGTTTGTAAGTTGAAGCACCAGAACTTAACCTCTTCAGTTTTTTTTCCGAAGTTCAATGAAAAAGAATTCAGATGGAGGTAGGTTCTGAGGCAGAGGTCACCGTTGATGCAGTGGATGAAGCTGGCAGCTCGTTTTCGCGCGATCATGGTGCTCTGTCGAATGCAGTTTTGGAATCAACTGAAGCGAACGTTCATATATCAAAGTATGTGTCTTTCCGCTTCCTTAATACCAATGCATCTACCATTTGTTTGAGTCATTTTTTTAGGTTTTTATCTAGCAATAGTTTTCATTTCATTTGTTGATAGGTAATCCCAACTCACGAGGAAAAGGGTCTAGCTTGAAATAGCTGTTTGAAACGTATAACGAGTCTAGGTGGAGCGGGCTCGCGAGATCGTTACTCATTGTCGTAGTAGGCTTACAGAAGTTACACGAAACATGCTTCCACATCGCAGCTTTAGCGCAAAATTTAACCACTGTTTCAAATTTTTCAATCTAAGGCTCATCTATTGAAAATTTGAAACATCTTAGACACAAAGGCCAGTGTATTTTGGCTCTACTTCTTGAGAATATCCCTACCAGGAAGAACACTACTGGCTTTTTAAATAGCTCCTAGGTCTAGCCACTTGAGGCTAAATTTTGCTTATAGAATTGTGATACGTTGCAGGATATCAGGTGCACGCTATCGCGTACGAGCGCTATCTGTGGGAGGAGTCTCTTTGAAGGCGAAGTCTCCCTCTGCGTCAGGACGAACTTTGGCATCCCGACCACATACTATCCAAGTGTTCTCGCCACTGACCCTTCTTCCACAGAAATTAACCCTCATCCCCGAGAGTACATTCCAGGTAAGCTGCATCTATCGAATTTACTCGCAAAATGAATAAAAGAGAAATACTTTTGTAGCTGGAAGTCATCGGCGGTCCGCAACCTACACCACCAATTGACTTTGCTCTGAACAACTCCAAGATCGCAAGTGTTGAATCGAATGCGTTGATCACATCGAAGAATCTCGGCTACACGTCGATTACGGGTACGGTGAACATCGGTGGTGGGCACTCTACTCAGGTATGTTTTATTTCAATACTCTGAAAGGTTTGTATTTCCTGACTTTCGCTTACTTCCATTATTTACAGAGTACCGTAGTTTTACATGTTGTCTCGCTGGCTGGAATTCGAGCTCTAGCAAGCACTCAAATCACCGAGACAGGAAGTCGTATATGGGTCCGCGTTAATGGTCTTGATGATGCAGAGACTCCATTTGCTTTCGGTGGAGCTCTTTATCCATTCAAGGTGGGATCGGAACACTTTTACCGTTCTATTTCACCCTTTTTCTTTGGTTGAGATTGCATTTTGAGGTGACGTGGACTGTTAGTCATCCTGGCGTGCTAAAAATAGTCCATCCTTTTGGTCCGTCGATATCTGAAGTTGATGACAATCGCTTTGCAATTTCTCTAGAGGGTGCCAGTGCTGGTACCGCGATTGTGAAGGTGAACAGAAATTCCCCAGTGTTGAGCGCATTCTTTTATTTTTTTTTCATGTGATTTGTTTAGGTTCGCGTGGAGTTGGCACCGCACGCAAAAGAGCACTTTATTCGATCAAAACGTGAATTTGAAGACAGTGTGGAAGTTCGTGTAGAGGAACCGTTGTCAATGCGTCAGCCTAAGCTGCCGATCCCTTCCATACGACTTGCTCAGAATACTCAAATGCGTCTGGAAACAGCGTGGTTAGTCATTGAGCCGGAAATCACTTTGCAATGCTAGGATACCTTCTGCTTAATACTCAGATTTAGGCCTCCGTCGGTCGTGGAGTTCTCTGTGCCCCCTGAGTATGCCAGTCGGCTTTCCGTGACGAAAGCAGGTATCGTCCAAGCGAAATCACTCGCAGGGCCAGCTGTGGTGGTTGTTCGTCGAACTGACTCTTCTGACAATGAGACATCGGTAATCCCGGTAACGGTAAGTGTAAGGTGGAAGTTACAATGTGCTCAGACCAATAATTACTCCCTTTATAGGTCTGCGCCGTTAATTCTCTTGACGTTCTTCTGGCAACAAAAATCGAGCCCGTTTCCGTGACCCCACTGCAATACCTTCCAGTGGGCGTGAAAATTGCTCTGCAGGTGGTGTTCCGTGATTCACGTGGTCGTCAGCTCTCTGCATCTTCCTCATCTTTAAGTTATCGGCCACACAGGTAGTGTAAATCGATAAATTACCCTAGGTTGATGTAGAGAATTCTCAATTTTAGATTCGATTTGACGGAGATCGTCTCGGCTGATGCAAACAAGACACTCACCATAACAATGAAGTCGCCAGGCGATACCGTTCTGATGGTATTCCTTTTTCAAAACTTCACTAGCCACTCTTGGCTTTTGTTTTTGTTTATTTTTATGAATTGACCTTGTTTACAGATCTGGAACACGGCTGTCCCGTCACAAAATGTGTTCGTCAGACTCTCCGCCGTTGAACAGTTATATCCTTCGCGTAGGCAGCCCGTGGTGTCAGACATAGTATGCTTTGAATCGCCACTAGCAGGAACTATGAGATGGTCAGCAAGTGACGACCGCATTGAATGGCTGGACGTAGAGCAGGGTGTAGCGAAACTATCGCAACAAGGCAGCACACATGTGACTGTAAACGTTGCTGATCAGAAGTTGACAACTTCGGTAAGACCTTTTATTGTGGTAAAACTTCGTACGATTCTTGATGAAGGCTAATGGTGCTACTATACGGGCGCGGTTACAGTGGGAAATTCGCACTTTTCCCTACGATGGTTTTTTTTTTCGTCCATCTTGTCATTGCTTGTGAAACAACCTGAAACTAGCTGTTTTTGGGAGAATTCCCTTGAAGCAGAGCAAACAACGATGAGAAAATATAGATGCCCTTGTATTTTCCTTACAGATGTTTATTCGTGCTGCGGGGCAACTGCGATTTGTCGACGATCATCCGAAATTTGTTACGAATGAGGAGGGTGCATCGTTTGAGTTCCCAGTGAATGTTGCTGCCAATGGAACCGATTTATCAGCCTCTGCTATGACAGGTAAGATTTCTGCTCTAATTCAAGTTCGTAAATCCTCCGGTGATGATTTACGTATTCAAATGAAAACGTTATCAAGGGTGCTCGGAATCCCAGCTAGAGGCTCTATCTTCTCTTCGAGCTCCATTCGAATGTATCGCATCCTTCACTAATGGAAAAATAGGACCAGCTGTGAATATACTGTCCACAAGAGCTGTTTTCTCGCCACGTACTCGTACGTTTTGCATACTCTACTTGTTCGGTAATTTTGGAAAGAACAAGCTATCTATTTGACTGAAGCTTATTTATTTTAGGCATGTACTCATGTATCATCGAGCGGCAGGAAGCTGGCTATGTCCGCCTTGATGTGGTCAATGCACCTCAAATGGAGCTGAAATTAACAGCGAAATGGCTAGGCGACTCTCAAGTGAGTACAGTTATAGCGCGGTGATTCTAATATTACTGGTTGAATAATTTCAGGTACCGCCTGCTGTCACGAGCACAAACTTCCATATGGCAATGCGTGTTCTTGATTCAGAGGTACTTTGCCTTTCCCCCCTGTTTTCCATTTTTTCAGTCTTGCTTAGAAAAGCTCCGTTGCATTTTAGGTACAACTGTCGGATGTCGATCATAAATCTGCCGTAATTTCAGTACAAGTACCGTCATATCAGCTACGACAGGTGAGAATTTGAAATCCTAATTGCTGATTCATTTCCTTATCCACACAAAATTAAAATTCGATTCGTTTTGGAATTCGGGTTATTGTGAATTCAGCAGCAAAACTGTAGAGCAGCAGGCTGTAGGCTGACTTAAATTCAGGCTTTCCATCTATAATATGATTACCTCATCTAGTTACACGTAATGTACAGCTTCGGAGCACTCGCTTAACTGTGACAAGGTGCGGTTACTGGAGGGGACTGAGCCCTAATTAGGGTGCACACGTTATAGCTACCCTGGTTGTCAGCTTACTTGTCACCAGCTCGTGGTCTAATCATACAATAAACACGTCTGCTTTTACTTTGTATATAATTTTCTTCTCCCTCGGTTGATCAGAGCTGATCCCACACTTGAAAGGAGAACGGCTATGGTTAATTTTCTCTTTTCAGGTGACTATCTCTGGATGTGCGGGTGACATTGTTACCGTGTCGGACGCACGTCAGCCTGCTGGCGCGAATGGAGCTGCCAATAAGTTTTTCTTGGTCAAGGTTTGTGCTATGCTAAAAGATAGACCTAGACCGAACCCAGATGACCAGAACTTGAGCCCTGAGTAGAACCTGAATTTCTAACCGAGGAGTGAGGAGTTCCGGATTCTTTTCAACCTATCAGATATCTTTGAGACAGATTTCTGTATTAATCCCTTTTCTGTTCGGTCGGGCACGAGAGCGGATCGTGCACGCTGTCCTGACAAGAGAACGAACGCCGATTTTTGGTGGTTCTGATCTTCACGGCAAATGCAGATGGTTTTTCTATTTATCCGATGTGGAAAAATGGTATTTTCAGCTGAACATCAAGTCGGCTGCCTTATGGTCAGATCTGTCTCAAAAATGCTCGGTAACGATCGAAAACAGCGTTACAGGGCAGATTGTTCATGTTCCTGTCCGTATTCGAATTGTTGGTCAAGCTGCCAAACAAGTTTATAATGGCGAGTTTTCTCCTTAGCCAGTTTATTTCTTTTATTGATTCTTTCGAAAGCTATGACTCCCAGATCGATTTCTACCCAGGTCTACCAGTTTCCCTTTAGGGTCGTTTAATTAGTACCAGACTCAAGTGGGACAATAAAACCATTGACTTGCTCGGCTCACCCTAGCAGTTCATTGTATAGGCAGCGTACACATTCGATGGCTACTAAAATTCTGAATGGAACTCGAAAGCGGGGCGCATCCCACAACATGGTTCATTGACGCGAAAACTATCTGCTTTCCTTTTATGGTAGATTTTCAGCCTTGGACAGTGCGAACTTCTTCGAATTTGTTTTAATCTTCCTTCAACATTACTCGTGGATCATTCCCTCTTTGATGTGGCTTTGTGCCCTTGGAATAATCACAATCGCTAGTGAGTTACTTTGTTATAATATCGACCGAAACGATTCCGTCATCTCTTCAAACGTCATTGTGATCCGTTTCAGTATATTGGTTCATTCGGCGTCGAATATGGGAAAAAGAGGGTACCTTCAACGATACTACCTTGCGTACAAATATGTCAACATCAGTTCTGAGTCGTCAGTCGATGTCTGTGCAGAGTTCACCAAGTGGGTTATCTAAGAATGTGCTGTTGATATTGGTTTAGATCGATTTTTTTTGCATTTGATACCGTATTATGACATTACCGGTATCATAAAACGTTTTGATGTAATTATTACCCATGGGAACGCACCCTCTAGGGGGATTCACTTTTTTCTCGAATGTTTTACTTTGGAAATCTGAAATCGTTTATATCCAAGTCGAACCCCATGAGCGGAGGTGCATAAAAAAAAACTGTAAAACTTGAAGTATTTTGTAATTTTTAGGCTTCTTCCGTCAATCACCGTTAGGGAAGTCAACCCCAATTTTCGGAGATTCGACAGCGACTGGTATGAAGGCTCGTCCAATGGGTGCCAGAGGAGAACCAAGTCTGTGGAGCACGGATTCGACAAGGAGGATATGAGGCGGGCGACTCTGTTGTTGAAAACAGGGCCTCGCCCTCCGATCACCAAGCGATTCCATACAATTGCTAGTTTCTGATCGCCTTTGTTCGAAGACCCCCCTCGAAGATTTATCGCTAAGACGCTTCGACGACCTCGCACAATGGTGTGACCGTCCCTCTTTAGGTATCGATTCATTGGCGATTCATCGTCAACGGAGATCGTTATCTCGTTTGTGTACTTCTTCTTGTTATTACTATGATACGTCCTTGCAGAAATTTCTATAGGTTTTTCATGTTCCTAACGTTCCTGCTCATCATATTTCGTTTTTTTTTNTTTTTTTTTTGCGATATTGATTGATGAAGAGGTTGTTTTTGTTGTATTCTTTATCAAATTCTCTTCCTATGGGTTGATACTCACACTTCTTATTCTCTCGGTTATTTCGTCTTTTTTGCTCATCTTTTAATACCCAGTATATTGTTATGGCAAAATTTTTCTATTGTTTTCAACTATTACAGCGAGGATATGAGTCCCATTCATCGCATACTTTCAACTGGCCAGTTGTTGTTGTTTACTGTCTCTTTTCTTGATGAAATATTGAATAAAGGATGTTCTTGAATGCCCCCCACGAGGGAATGGTAAAATTGCCGGTCAACGCGGAGTAACGTAGCAGGAAGGGTGGTCCACGGACGACGCCGCAACCAAGTGGTCCCGTAGCGATAAGTGGCGTTGCTGGGCGCCAACGTCTTAGCAACCGTCGTTCAAAATGGAATGCCCAGATTCCATGGGTCGCATTTAATTACCCTGGATGGGCACGTAATCTTCTAATAGTATAGTAGGTAGCTCTACGTCTGGATGGTTGCCTAAGCATTCGATGTTATCCATATTGGATTGGTATAGCCGTCAGTTCTGGGCTTCTTTAGCTTTGGAATTTCTGCTTTGCGAACCCTTTCAGGGCTAAGTTTTCATGTAATGGATCGGGCCTTTTCATTATATTGATTTATTGATTTCAATTCTGGATCCTCTTCTTTTTGTAAATTATTTTGGATCTTCATAAAAAACGTGTGTCTAGGGAGTTTCTATCAGAACGGTTGGTAACCTATGGAATAAACCACATCCTCATTCCTTCTAGACATTTTTCCTCATAAAGAATGCTATTTTCGAACTACATATCTTCGTTTCCTCCATTGTGGTTGACTTCCCNCCCGAAATTGGGATACGGAAAGGTGGACGTGTTAACAGGATCACTATTGAAACCATTTCTTTGTGCCTCCTCGATTTTGCCCAGTTTCTGGGTCTTCTGGTTGATAATTCAAAAAGCAGAAGAAAAAAAAGTTGATGGAGAGAATGCTCATGACATGGTTTATGTTGCTGTCATCACTCCAAAACATTCAAGGATATTTATAGATTGTGACTGCCATTATAGTTTAGAATCTGTAATAGGATGTAGTACAAGTTTTCTTCCTAGCTACAAGTTCAGTTAGTTTCCTTCAAGTTGAATTGGTTTGTTATAGTTTCTTACCCAGTTCTCACCTTTTTTTATCGTAATTCTTATATTATTCTGTACGTCCTCTCAGGGACACTAATCGTAAGTACTAGTATGCAAAGAAGGAGAGGTAGCCGACTCCGATGATGTTGAGGAACGCTTCTTTTCTAGGAGGGAAGGAGCACCGGGATGGGTAGGCCAAGTGAGTGTTCAATTCTTGCCCCATCTTAGCTTTTTCTACGACGTAATCGCCTCACCCATTCCGGTGCTCTTTCCCTACTAAGGCTTTGATAAAACTATCCTCCTTTAGCTAATAATCATCTCTAAGCAAAAGTAAGGTCCGCTATTCCTATTTCTCTCTACCGCTCAGTGTTGGTTGAGTGCGGTGGCTCCCTCACCTGCATTTTCACCGAGATTGTAATAGAAAGAAAAAAAGGAGAAAAGTACTTATTCGAAGAATACTTATCGATTGCTAGGCCCTGTTACGCCCTTCTCGGTGGCTTTACTGCTCATCAAAGTTTAAACGCACTATTTTGCGTATGACACGTTTTGTTGTGTTAAATTGCGTTCAACGTGCCTCAACGGTGTAAGTTTATTGTTACCTCCCCCACTTTCTTTGTCCCCGTTCTTCCTGCCAACTTCTTCCCAATTCCTTTTCCTACCTACTCTCCCATTTCTTCCAAACTTCTAATCATCACCAAAGGCGGGCACTGCAAGGTTTTGATTTTAGCCAGCATGCGAGCTCCCAATAGCATCTGTCCTTGAAAAAAGTGAACTTATGGTGTTCCATGACAGTGTCGTTCATTTTGTTGTAGAGCTTAATGATGTCCGTGATGGTACCATTCAGCTGTTTAAATCGGGTGGTCGTTGATTTTTTGGCTCTACTATATTTTGATCAGATTTTCTCTGTTCAGAAGATGGGCGAGGATGCTCACCTAGAGGAAGCTGATGAGGGCTATGGGCTTTCACCGGTTCACGATGAATCGCTGAAATTCGACGATGATGGAGAACGGTGGATTTGCTCAATAGACGGGGTGGATAATCTTTTTTCCTTTTAAGACTTCTTTTTGCTATATTTTTGTAATCCCTACCCAAGGTGATGGACATGTTTTTTTTATCTCATCTTGTGAACCGTTGAAAACGTACAATCCGAAATGCTCGCTTGTGCCCCCCTAAGGTTCACTAGTGGACAAAGAAGGCCAATATCAGATTTTAGTACCACATGAAAAGTTACAACGTCGTAGAGTTCGCAAAAGTATCGGTCGGTTAGAGCACTGCTCAGTTTTAGCACGTACTAAAACATTTCATGGGAATATTGATTGAAACATTGGGAATATTTCCAGCTGATTTGTCTCTATTTATTTCAGTCTTGTATAACAAACAAAGGATTGCGGCCCTCTGACCAATGTGAGCTTCAACCGTGTTCGGTGATCAGCTCAGAGCGATCTGTCGCTCCCATAGAGTCAGCAACGGCATTTCCCACAGTGGTCCTTGACGACAGCGAGCCGTTGTTCAAAAATTCGTCAAGGAGGCAGCAACCGATTGTTCGCAGTATTCGAACGCCTATCGCTTTGCCACAACCTCAGGATGGAACGATAGTGAAGAGGCGATTGACTCGTAACAAATCTTCATCGAGAGTATGTCGTGAAATAAGCCCGATTGCTCGTGTATCCAGCTTCGACTCTCTACAGAAGTCCGCTGGAAATACAAGCCAGGTGATCTATTTCGTCGAATTTTCAATTTTTTTCCACGGCCAATGATGTCATTGTAATTAAAATACTAAACGCGATCTTATTCGAGCTCAGAGGATATCCGAAGAGCGCTGACATATTCGAGAACTGAGGCTGTTGTTGTTTATGTTTTCTACTCATTCATTTAGCCAGGAATGACTGATTTATTGTTTTAGATATACGATCCTCTACGGCGGGCCACAAGCCAAATATCGTTAGCTTTCGACAACGGTTTTAGTGCTGAATTGAAAAGTCAAGG